GGAGAAGGAGGATGGAGGAGGAAGAGGAGGGGGAGGAGGAGCAGCAGCAGGAAAAGGGCGAGGAGGAGGAGCAGGAGGAGCAGGAAAAGAGAGGAGGAGGAGGAACAGTGAGGAGGAGGAGGAGGAGGAGGAGGAGGAGGAAAAGTGAGGAGGAGGAGGAGGAACAGTGAAGAGGAGGAGGAGGAGGAAAAGGGAGGAAAATGGAGGAGGAGGAGGAAAGGGAAGGAGGAGAAGGAGAAGGGAGGATGGAGGAGGAGGAGGAGGAGGAGGAGGAGGTGCGCTCATCCCAACCCCGCGTGTCCTCCCTGCAGAACGCGACGAAACCCAGCGTGCCTCTAGGCCAGCACCTTAGCACGGGCCTTGAGAAGATTCTGAAGGTTCAGCTTCCTAGAAGCAGTGCGGAGCTTGTTAAAATAATGAAAACAGATGTCGTGGTAAATCGCACAACTGATCAGAGAATCCAGGTCTCCTGGGAACAGGTGCGGGCAGGCCCTCTCAGGGCCACCAAGATTCAGAAACTCTGGATCAAGTCTCGGGGGAAGCTCTAATAAGACAGGCCCGGCTACAGGACAACAAAAGTTGTGTACTAGGTCGTCCCCACCCACATTGGAGCACCCTAACAAACATCGGCCAGGACCCTGATGGTACCGACGTGTGGTCGACCACGCGTTACAATGCGTTTTTATATAAAATCACTAGACACTACAAAGTTCGGGACATGCTGACCTATTTTACCTAACTTAATTTGCAACCGGGTTTCAGTACCTAGGCTCACGGCCTGATGTCCCAGAAAATACCAGGCTCGTCGGACGAGAGCAGCACAACATCGAACACCAGGGAATCGTTTTTGCAAAACTCGGAGCACGGCAGCCTGGAAACCTTTCTTCTCGGGGTCCTCGGGAATCTCTGGGGCACCGCCCAGGAAACTCATCACCTTGTTCAACTGATACAGACAGGATTCCTGAAAGAGCGGGTTAAAGAAATGGGTCACGAGGTACTCGTTGGACTCTAGAATATCATTATACCATCGGATCATCCTGGGTAATACCTGGCTTTTCATTGCTGTTCGGTACCTCGCGGCCAGACACAGCTGACGGAGCTGAAGCACCTTAACTTTGATGCCGACACTCTCGAGATCGAAGAACACGGCTCGCGGTACTGCGTGCCTCGGGCCGTTCACCAGCAACTGAAGGAACTCGTCCTCCAGACGGAACATAGCTGGCGGAGGCTCAAAGAACTGGCCAACGAACTGAGTGACTGGCACCGCTAAGGCCTTCTAGCACATGCTGTTTTCGACTGAACTCATGCCGAGACCTCTAAGCTCCCTCACCCTCCTTACGTACTCAACCACCGGGTCCTGCCAACTGAGTTCATCCCCACCTCGCCCTAGGTAGATCCCCAAGTACTTACCGTTGACCCTGACCTGAATACTTCCCAGATCTATTCCCATTTCGTCGAAACGACGTCGATTGTACTGAACCGAGTACGATGCTATAAACACGGTTACCGTGTCCTTGTTATTCAGATAGAGGCCCGTCGCCAATCCGCACTGGTTCATGATGGCCAGCACGATGGGGACACTCTCAAAAAGGTCACGCGAGCCGCGCATTATGTCGTCGGCGAAACAGCACAAGCAGCAGCTTGGTTCTGGAAGGGCACAGGATAGAGCACGCACAACTGGATCAAGGGCGAAAGCGAATATCGACCCCGAAGCTGGGCACCCATGGTTTATCCCAGACGATATCACGATTCCGGGACCCCGACCTCCAGAACATATCCCAAGGGTAACCGATATCCCACGATAGAGAAACTTCAACGCGCTGATTATGTTATTTGGAACACCCATGATTTCTAGGACCCACCATATCCACCCATGATTGAGAGAAGGGAAAGCGGCACGAACGTCGAGCAAGATGCTTCCTGCGTCCCTCTCGCCAGAGACACAGAACCAGACCGCCAGCTTCGGGTTGGCCTCCAGCACATTCTTGTTCGAATAGCGTCGAATGACAAACCCGCGCTGAGGCTCGGCACAGGCGATCGATGCTTGTTTAGCCAGCCCCAAATTCAACCACGCACTTAAAATCTTATTACCAGTATTTCCCAGACGTATCGGCCGACCCTCAGACGGGGCTTTAATCAGCTCGTCTATGCACTCGGGGATCTCCCCCGTTGGTATGAAGACTGCGAGGCACTCGTTAAACGTGTCGTCCTCTGCCTCACCAGCAAGCAGAGCCTGATAGGCCTGGAACAGAATCTGCGCGCCTAGTTCCCCGCTGTGAGAGTACCAGCTCAGATATGCTCCTCATTCTGTTCATGAAACCAGCGTAGTCCACCCAAAAATCCCCATCCGCATCTATGAAGTCGTTGAGTTCAGGGAAGGCTCGAACAACTTTCAGCGCGACTCGTCTGTTCCCCTGGGTCATCGCGCGCAAGACGGCGAAGTACCAGGACAAAATGTCTTGCGAGGTCGCGGGGCCGTCGACTGACAGACCTTCTTTCACCTGACGAGCTGCCTCATGGAATGCCGCCTTGAGCCCACGGAGCCTGAGAAAAGCGCCCCCGTACTCAGGCATATCTTTCCAGAGGTCCTGAACCAGAGTCGAGAACTGCGGTTTTTTGACCACCCAGGAAGGGGTCCTGGGAGCCGACGGCCTACGACCTGGGTTCAGCTGGGCGTAGACGGGCGCGCGGTCGCTGGGCTAGGACAAGTCTGCGACGGGCCAGACGACGCCAGCGGCCGGCTTCAAATCCAGCAAGTGCCCAGAGTCCAGAGAAACATATATTCTAACCTGCCAGCAGAGACGAGCTTCTCGTTCTGTTTCGCTCTAAATGTCGGGTTGAGCTGCACCAGCTCGCACAAGCACGGAAATGTGTTGGCGAAGAAGCCTCCAACCGTATCTGTTTTGCATGAAACAAATTCAGCTCGGAGAAAAAGTCGGGTGTACCCAGGATAGAGACAATTGAAATCACCCCAAACCCAAGTAGCACACGTACTGACAGGCTTGACCGAGAAGCCCACCCGTCGAATCAACCCATATTTCATACTGTTAGATAGGGCGGGATGGATGTGAATGGTGGTAAGTGTCATGCACCCCAGCTTCCCCCTAAGATGTATGTTGTGGAGCCTCCCCTTGGCGATGACCTGGTGACGCACATGCACATAGAGCTTCCAAAAAAGTTCGGCGAATCCGAATCACCGACCCTCCAGCAGCACGATCGGATAGGAAGGTCCCCCACCCAACCAACTGCTGTACGTCAGAAAGAAGAAGAAGGATATCCCCACGACAACCATGACACTCCTGGAGAACCCCCGCGCCGGAGTCGGCGCACAGCGACTGCACCGTTGCTCGAGTACGAGCCTGCATCGCAACGTCGGAGTGCAGCGAGCCGAACAGGGTGTGGGCGTTCCAAGTCGCGATCTTGAAACGTCGAGACGGGATAAACGGCAGATCCAATACTTGATCCTCATCATCCCCCCAAGAGCCATCTTCGGACGACGAGTCGTCGCGAGAGCTGGAGGACCCAGAAGATGAACACAAAGCTTGAGAGCCAGAAGAGGAGAGGGAGGGGGAAAGGCGATCTTCTTCGCCCAGTAGCTCATCAAGGTCATGTCTATTTGCATGTCCTGAATTATGAACTTGTGCTGGTTGCGTGGGATCCTACTCATTGAGCAGCTTCAACATATTGTCGATGTCCTCCTGCCCATTGTTGAGACTCTTGATGTCGTCCGTGGCGCGCACCAACATCCTATGCAACGGATCTACTGTGCCGCGAAAAAGAATCCAAATATCGTCATCCTTGACGAAGTAGAACTCATTGGGAAACCCGTCGGCCCCCATCTTGACGGTCTGAGACCACAATCCTTTCTTCACCAACAGTTCTTTCATCGGGGTCCACACTCGCCCCAACTGACGCTGCCGGCCTCGAACGTCTCCAGGTAGGTCTGCTCGGACTCTTATGTCGTGAATCGACTGGTCACGTGTGTCACGCCAACGCATCGGGTACTCACTCATGTAGTCATGGAACTCCCTCGCCTGGGCCGCAGTCTCGAAATGGACACTGTAGCTCTGGGAGATCCTCGCGAACCTGGCAGTCATAACCTCGGCAATGTGGGTATTCACGTGGGACTTCAGCTGCTCGAAGTGGGCCATCCTCGCGGATGACAGCAACGTCCTTGGGAAACGACTGATCCACCTACGCTTCTCATCTGGCTCGTCGTCCTGCGGGACACGACTCGTGGGCGCCGAACTCGCCGCCCTCGAGATCTTCGCGGGTCGTCCACCACTCGATGCCGCCGATGTCGCAGTCGATGCTGCCGCTCTCACCTCATCTCGAATGCTGATCATGTCCCTCTTGTGCGACTCCGCCAAGTTACGAATCTGGGACTGGATGACAATATCGTTCAGCGTCGCACCTTGAGGTAGAAGGGCCAACTGATTCTCGATGCTGATCACCTTTGCCTCCCATATGTTTGTCTTCGCTATCTCCGACATCGCGCGCTGCTGGGTGGAAGCCATCTCGCTGATCTTGGCCTCCATCATGCGGTTGGACTCGGCGTTCTCCTCCATCGCCTTGGCCATTCGCTCCAGGGCGCTCGACGGGACGGTCGTGAACCCTTCGTCCCCAACGTCGATCGCACCCTCGGACATGGCGGCACTCCGGGGAGCGATTCACTAGAGGGCAGAGGAGAAAAAAATTGGAGGCCTGTCCTCCAGCGGTCCTCTGAGCCTCCCCGTCGGCAGCTCCCAAGTTCCAGCCCCCAGGGAGCAAGGTTGGAACTTGAGCCAAAATGGTTACGGGAGGAGGAGGAGGAGGAGGAGGAGGAGGAGGAAGAGCAGGAGGAGCAGGAGGTGGGGGAGGAGGAGGGGGCGGAGGACCCCCCCCGCAACATCTCACTACCCCACGCTGAGGGCGCCCACGTGGCGAGGGGGCGACCTTTTGGCGGCAGGCCCTCCCCCATGTGCGCACGGTGCCCGCTTGCGCAGGGCGAGCGCGCCCGCCTGGAGGGCGCCCTGGGCGTACCCCCGGCTGCTGGCACCCTGGGCGTAGCCCCGGCCGCCCTGGGCGCGGGGGGGGAGGGGGGGGGGGAAAACAAAGACCCGTCGGTCGGCAGATGTGGGTAGACACATGAAGCAGGAAGGCGGTGAAGGTAGATTGGGCTTCCATGAAAGTGGGACGGCGGTGAAAGTAGATCGGAAGGAGTGGATCGAAACATTAAGTAGAAGCATGGCGTAGGAAGGCTGTGAAGGTAGATTGGGCTTCCGCCCGCCCCCTGAGAACGAGGGAAGAGGGACGACCACTACTCTTGAACGAATGGGAAGTAGACTGGGACTTGGGCATCCGAGAATACCTACTTTCAACGACCGACGGGTATCGTGCTGGGATCACGAGCGGCGAACATATCCGTATACGCGCCCTCGCGCTCTGGACTCTGGGGCACGGTCCAGCGGATACGCAGTCGCACGGGTGCGTTCCGCGCGGAGCATTCGCGACACACCGCCCCATATCCGTGGAGTCGCGGTTCAGAGGCCCCGCCCGTGAGGCCACGGATACGGACATGTGTTTCGCCCACGATGCGAGGAGGGGGTTGAGAAGATACAGAGCGCGACTGAGTAATGATGAGCACATTCAACACGCGCGATTGCACAGATCTGACCAGCTCTCCCAGCCCCATCCTCCCAACCCACTCTTTCTGAGAGGAGCACTCGTGAGGGGAAGGGGGCGAGGGCGTTGGGGCACTCTTCGAGGCGCTCCACAAGAGGCCGCCCCCCCTCCTCGCTCCGCCTTGGCGACGCGCACTAGGGCGTGGGGGGGAAGGCATCTTAGAAGGAGGCTGCTTCTTAGAAGGCGCTGGGCCCGCTCCTCTTAAGAGGTAGCCTTCTTCAAAAAAGCCTTCAGCTCTCCCCGCGCCCTCCTCGCTCCACCCCCGATGGCCCTCTCCTCTCCACGTCCTCACTTGCCTCCCCCTCCTGCTGGTCCTCCCCCCTCCCCCCCTCTTCCCCTCCAACCCTTCTTCATCCCCCCGCCTCCCCCTCCTCCGAGACGAAGCCGGGGCGAGCATAGCATCGGGTATGGATCCATCGAGATTCTCTGAGATCCCGCGGCTCTGGGGGATGTCTCCGGCGCCGCTGCCTTCTCAGAGCGTCCCAGAACGCTCTGAGAGCGCTCCGGGACGCTCCAGAACGGACGCATCCCCGTCCTGGAACCGCCCGACGCCGCCTGCCGCCGCCCATCGTGCGTCGTCGTCGGCGGCTGTGCTGGCGGCTGAACTCGGCCAGCGTCGTGCGTCGTGCGCCGTCGTCGTCGTGCGCCCCGGAGCCCCGTCCGATCCTCCTCCGCCCAGGAGCGCCAGCCCGCGCACGCAGCGGGTACGAGGCGGATGCGGACACGCGGCGGGCACCGAACGGGACACCCAGAAGCGCCAGGCGGACACCAATCGAACACACCAGGGAGCGCCAGCCAGAGCACGGAGCGGGTACAGGGCGGGCAGGGGCTTGGCTCTGGACGAAAATCGGGGAGACGTGGGACTCGGGTTGGCCTGACGGGGCCATCCTGATAATGCTGAGACCCAGTGTGAAATTCGGCGCGAGCCCCCGCTGCAGAAATCCCACAAAAACTGGACCGACAAAATCCAGGACGCGCTCGTCTAAAAGCGTCGGCAAACCCGCGCTCCGGCGTACTCAAGTCTTACGTCTCCCCGAGACAAGCCTGAAAGGCAGGCCTCTTGCCGCGGGCATGTCTAGGGAAACTCTACGTGATCTGAGCTGAGAGCCTCGGCTGGATGCCCTGGCACTCGGAGGCGATCGTAGATGGGCCGGAGCAAGCTTCACGGCTTCGCCGAGGGCTAAACATCTATCGTGCCGAATTGCTTGCGTCGCTGAATGTGGGGGGGGGGGGGGGGCGATGAAGGGGGGAGAAAGGTGTGCACTTGCCCCCTATGGAGCCCTCAAGGGCCTCTTTTCTGCAGCCCTCGCTGCCCCCCCCCCATTGCGCGGATTCCCAGATTTGCTCGTGACACGGGTCCCCAGACCTCTCGGTCCCAACCCGAGAGAGCCGCTCGTCACCCCGACAAAGTCTTCATGGCCCCAGGTCTCGAAACGGGCCTCCAGGAACCCAAAGACGGGATCTGACCGACTCAATGCTTGTTTTCGCTACAATCGGACCTAGAACAGAAAAACATCCTTCAAGAACATGAGACCCTCTGCTGGCCAAGACACACAGAACATACAAGGGTACCCTCCCCAGGATGCACAAGAATATCCAACAAACACGAAGAACATGAATTAGGGCACTCTCCCTGAACCTACCTCGATCTGATACCTCGGGCCGGCTATAGCCCAGCCTGTCCTGGGGAGCGTGTGGGCTATAATTTTGCGGGCGGGTCCAGCCATGGCGGGAAGGGGCCTGGGAGGAGCCCTAAACATAATCACCTGGATCCTCAAGGGTGGCTGGAGGGGCGCTGTGCACGATCTCGTACGCGCCACCGTCGCCTTCCACCCCAGACATCCAGCGTCTCGATGCTTTCGAAACGCGGGCCCCCGTCCTCTCGACCACTTCCCTGGCACCAGTTCTTGGCACCAATTTTTCATCCCGGGTCGCTTATTGACAGTCCCCCGAGGCCCGAGAAGGGCCTCGAGAGGCCGAGAAATATGAACAAAAAAATGCCGGCGAAGCCGCCCCGGTTTTCTTTCGGGGATCGACTGCCCCGGGTCAATGCACGCCTGGGTCGGTCGGGCGTTGCAAGATCCTGCAAGATCCTGCAGGATCCTGCGCGCTAGCCCGGGTCAATGCACCCTGGCTTCGCAGGATACTTCAAAATCCGGCGCTCTGGCGAACCGCCGTTTGCACTGCCCCCCGTCTCAGGGCTTCGGAACTGGGAGTGGCTTCCGCCTGTGAAGCCGCCCCTGTCTTCCTTTCGCCAGGCCTTCCGCCTGCTTTCCGCCGCGGAGGAGAGTAGAGGGCAGAGCAACAACCCTCAGAGTAAGCACCTCGACAAGCGAAGCCGTTCAGTAAACGCCCGCAAAGAAGGGAACGAACAGGACAGGTCGACTCCATATCGATCTCTCGAGGGCGATGCTGAGAAGCGCCCCGCCCGCTGCGCCTCCGACGTCGCCATCTTGTGCGTGGCATGCTCTCTTGGGAAGCTCCTGGGGCTCTCTTGGGACGCCTCGAAGGCCTCGTGGGCCGGCTTGAAGCCATGTTGGGCCGTCTTGAGGCCAATCCGTTTTCAAGATCGACGAATTGTTTTCCGTACGGGGGTCAGTGTTATTTTCCCGGTTTGAGACTCTCGTTTGCGCTGTTTTTTGTCGGTTCGGTTCCGTTTGGTACTGCTGTGATGTTTCCGTTTTCGGCTGCAGTCGCTTCCCCGTGTAGGTTGGCTGAACACCGAACATTTTAAACAAAAAACGGGAGCACTGGCTCAAGCGCCTTTTACATCAACTGAGCGTCAGGGGACCCAAGACCACCTCGAATCATGAATCAAATGCGACGGACGGTTTTTGGACGTCTTCGCCCCTTGGGGTTCCTCGCCAGGCCGCGGGACCGTCAAAAAACAACTCAGGATGAAGAGGCGGTCCTGTGGAATGGGTCGAGACCTCAATGGGGTCGACGCTGTGAAAAATTAATGACGTCGGGCGCCAGGGGATGTCGACCCCCTTCCTGGGATCCTAGTTCCGAGAGACGACACCCCAACGCAGATTTCATAGAGAAACCGCCCGTCGCGTTTTGCTGTGCGACGCCCGGGTCTGAGGCCCGGCCCGTTCCAGGGGGCGTTCTCGCCAGAATTTCGGGGCCGATCGGGCCCGTGCCGGCTAAACACCGTCCAGATGCCCACACAAGGGGCAGAACAACGCATTCAAAACCTGGGGAAAAAACTGGGATCATAAAAGATGTGTGCTATTTCCAGGATGGGCTTGTGCAAACGTAGGATCGGCGCTTACCCAAATCATCGGGCAGTCCAGCCCGCAACCTCCACTGAGCCCTGCGCTCGAGCTCCGAGCAAAAAAAAAGAAACAACTGCATAAGCAGGAATTTTGGAAGTACGCGCGGACTTCTTGGCTCTGCGCTGACCCCCCCTGACTGGCGCGCGAAGCGCGCCAGGGCCAGCGCCGGAGGCGCCCTTAGAGGGTTTTAGCGCACATCCAAGGAATCCGTGAGGAGCTCCGAAGGCGTGTGTTTATGCTGTTTCTCTTATCGCCAGCGGGATGGCACAGGGAACCCCTGGAGAATCCCAACATGTGAAGTGCCCGTCGTGCCTGAACCTTAGATGCTCTTTGAAACGCTGGGGACAGTCTTTCTCTGCTCCAAGATCGGCATACTATTTCAATTATGGACACCGTTTTCGTTACGCTCTCATGTTGGGAATCGGCCCGTGGCCCACCTGCTCATTTTTCTCCGTGCCCAAACGGTCCAGAATACGCTTTTTAGGTATAACATTGCCGCCTGCCTGTCAAAAAGGCCCCAGCGCTTTTCAGGACAACTGAAGCCAGATCCGACTTGCAAGGCATCCTGGTTGGGGGGGGGGGGGCGCCGTGCCTGAAGCTCTTCGGCCGCGCAGCGGTCGGCGCTTTCCTGCCCGTTCTCCTCGCCAGGGCTTCCGCCGGCGGAGGCGGCCTCGTTCTACTTCCCTCGGCCTTCCGCCGCCTTCCGGTGAGGAAGAGCCATCAACTCCTTCGACCCTCGACGGCGACGCCATCTCTTGAATGCCTCATATGAACAGGCGCGTGCCAGAGTCCATGGCGGGGCCCCTCTGTTTGGGGGGCGGGAGCGGCGTGCCTGGTGCCCTTCGGCCGCGCCGCGGTCGGCGTTCTCCTGCCCGTGCTTCTCGCCAGGATCGCCTGGGTCGGCCGTCGGCGCGGCGGCCGCGCGGCGAGGCGGGGCTCCGCTCCAGGGCCCAGCTTAGAGCCGCCTGGAGGCTGTTGTTCTGCAGACTCACGCGGATTTGCTTGCATGGCATGTCCCCCCCCCCCGCCGCCGCCTGCAGCGCTGGGCCGAACAGGCGTGCAGGGCAATCCCGACTTGCGCGGCATACAACTTCCCTTTAGGGCCTCACCACGCGCCCCCCCCTCCACACACACACGCACACACACACACACACACTCTTTTGTGCAAGTAAACTCGCCAGAATCCAAAGAGAAACGCCTCCTGGGGGTCTGAGGCGGTCCAGCACTGGTAAGGGCGGGCAGGTTCGAGGCTCCGGGTTCGGGAAGGTTGTCGCTTGTCTTTGTGATCTGTTTCGGTCTCCAGGTGGCGCTTTCGGGGGCACAGGACAATTACCAAATTATTTGAGGTGGACACTTTCACCAGATGGACCCCGGGGGAAGTGCGGGGACAGATGTTGACAGGATTTGGCCTCATCCCCCCCTCCTGACAGATTTGCTGGGGCACCAATCAAAATTGACTTCTCGAGCCGCCTCCGAGACCCAGGCCCCCTCGCTTCATGAAGAAGCGCCGTCGCGATTATTCTGCCTGCGAAGACCAAGATATCAAGGTGGATCTTCCTCCTCGATACTCCTCCTCGAGTTGGAGGGGCTTCTCTCTTGGTCTCGGTGCTCGTCCTCTTCGTTCTCATCGTTCGGCTCGCCCCGCTTGCTCCCGATGACATGGTGTTCCATCCTGCGGCCTCCCTCAGACCCCAGACTTCAATGATTACTCCACGATGTGGGCCCCTGGAGGTCTCGACCCGTTCCCCTGGGCCGGATTTGTCTTGAGATGTTTTTGTTGACGGTCCCAAGACCGCCGCAACCCAAAATGGCTTCTGGGTACGCTTGAACTGGGTACGGAACACATGGGTACGATGCTCAACACAAATGGTGTCCAAAACCAACAATGGTCGCTGGACGAAGCCAGGATGAGGATCAAATCGGATGAGGGTCATTCGAGAATTTCGGGGACCTGGCGGCTCTGGAGGATGTCTCGGGCGCCGCGGCCTTGTCAGAGCGGTCTGGAACGCTCTGAAAGCGTTCTAGAACGCTCTGGAACGGGTTTATCCTCGTCCCAGCCCCGTCCAACTCGAAGCAGGCTCCAGGATGAGCATCATGACCTCCTTAAAGCGCCAACCGAAATGATTTTTGTGGCCGGCTGGGCCCCGGGCCTCAACGAACACTCACCCGCGCAAGACCGCCTTTGGGGCCCCCAAGCGGTGTTGTGACCACACCGTGAGTCAGTGGGCATTGGGATGGCCGCACGGTTACACGGTTCGTTCCCCGAGGATGTCTCGGGCGACTGGGGCCTCCAATGTCCCAAAACAGTACGGTGGGGGGAACTGTGCGGTGAGGCTGTTGGGGATTCCGAGGTCACCGCGCGGTCTGTCAACGCACCAATGCTTGAGCCCCCAAGAGGCCCCCAAGACGCTCCCACGAGACTCGCAATAGGCCCCAAGAGGCTCCCCCAAGGCACCCAAGACACTCCAAGATGCCCCCAAGACCGCCAAGAATCCCCAAGACGCCCCAGGAGGACTCCAAGAAGCTTTCAAGAGACATGCGAAAAGACTCTGAAAGGCATCGAAAAGACCTCTGGCCATTCTACTTGCCCTCCTCCTCCTCCGCCTGTACCTCCTCCTCATCCGCCTGTACCTCCTCATCCCTGCTCCCTTTGGCCCCCTCCCCTTCCCCCTCCTCCTCCTCCTCCCCCTCCTCACCCTCCTCCGCGTCCTCCTCCTCCTTCTCCTCCTCCGCCTTCTCCTCCTCCTCCTCCTCCTCCTCCTCCTCCTCCTCCTCCTCCATCCTCCTGCTTTTGAAATATAATGGCTCCCCTTGCCGGCCATTCCACTGTATGCTCCTCCACATCCCTGGTCAAGGCAACTCGCCTGGGCAACGTTTCTGGATGGGCTGGTTGGGTTACGCGTTGCGTCTAGAAGAAATCTCCATGGGGCGCCTGTCAGGCACATTTCTTATCCGGTATGCCTGCTGTGGCTCTCCTGGACATGCGCAGCCTGGCTCTCTCCGCCCCCTGTCCTTGCAGAATGCTTGGTACCACTCTTGTTAAGCCGTTCATGGCGATGACGTGATTATGAATGAATGCTCCTCTTCCTTCCCCTCAGGAAGAGTCTTGCCTTTCAGGCCTAGCCCAGAAGGATACTGGGAACGACAGCGGAAACCACGAACTGAGCATACGTTTGTAGGCCATGTTCGTATCTAACCATCGTTGAGGGCCGGTGCTCGGACTCCATGGCTTTCTCACGACCTGGGCCCTGAAGCTCCGATCCCGGAGACTCTGTTTTCGTCGCAGATGCTTTTTCTGCTGGCCTGGGGCCCCAAAAACTACCCCTCGGCGGTGAAAACTCAACCGAACGGCTGACGTGCTTCCGAGTGCACCCAAGCAAGCTTCGGCGGCGAGCGAGGGGGGGGTGGAATGGGAAGGAGAAGATCTTCTCAAAGGCGGCGGGACTTCTCAGAACCCCTCGCGCCTTCTGATGAATACTATGCATATCCAGTAAAAGGCAAATAATATCTCTCAGAAGGCCACGGGTCTTCTGAGCCTTCTGAGAAAGCCCGCCCCCTCTCACCACCCCTCTGGGCTCGCCGCCGAAACCTCAAAATCCCCAAGAGGTCCCCCAGAGGTCTGTACAGCCCAAAACGTCAAATGAACTCGAGAAACGTCGATCCCCGACGTCTGCTGATGAATGACCGCCCACACTCTCTGCCTGCGGTTCCTGAAGGGTTCTGGGCCGGCTTGGCCTCGACACTTCGCATCGCATCGACCTTGTTGTCCGTGGCCTTCGGCTCAGTGGCGGTCACGTGCGCGTACCTCCCAAACGCGACGAAGGAAAACGACGATCCACGAACATCAACGATGTTGCAGCACTCGGCCACTTCTGGACATCATGAGGAGATGCGGGCGGCGGCGATTACGATGACGAGCGACAACGATCGAGGTGCTTGGCGTGTACGTCCTTGCCTTGCACAGCGGAAGCGTTGAGGGCAACACCGACAAACGACGACTACGAATGATATACGTACATGTGCGTGTTGCGCAAGTACTGCACAATAATGCGCAATGTGCATGTGTGCGTCTGTATGTGTATACACACATATATATATATATATATATATACATATGTGTGTGTAAAAAAACACAAATAGCGTGTATCTACTTAAACCGTGCTTGCACTTTGGGGTTCTTACTTCGGCTACTTGAGGAATTGGATGGTTGCTGCGAGGTTTCGCCTGGGGGGCGGGCGTGGGCGCATCGTGTGCGCCACGTGCGCTGTGCGGGTTTGGTGAGGTTCCGCCATGTGGGCGGCCGTGGCCGCCTCGTGTGCGCCGCCAGTGTGGCAAGGTTTTGCCTGGTGGGCGGGCGTGGGTGCCTTGTGGGCGCCCTGTCCACTGTGCGGGTGTGGCGAGGTTTCGCCTGGCGGGCGGCCGTGGGCGACTCGTGGGCGCCATGAAACTTACGCCGCGTAGCTTGCATCACACAGCTTGCGACACATAACTTACGCCAGGTACCTCGCACCGCCTAGCTTGCACCATGAAGCATACACCACACAGCTAGACTACATAGCTATACTATCCCACATGACTCGCACTGCGCAGCTTAGACCACACAGCGCACACCACACAGAGAACACCGCATAGGTTGGACCACGTAGATTGCACGATGTCGCTGAGAACACACGGCAGAAACACCACACACAGAGCACCACATAGATGTCACCACACATCTTACTACCGGAGTGCAGTAACTCACGATGTATGGCCCACGCTGGCAAACCCAATGCATTGAGGTTATACGTGTATATATATATAGGTCGTATCCGTGTGTATGTATATATGCATATACACCTGTGTAGATAGAGATCTATGGTTGCCCCCCTTTGATCATACCATTCGCCTTGGCTTCGATGTGTTCCCTCGCGCTGGGTCTTAGTCCTTCTCTACCCCTAAGAGGGGGATGGCGACGAGGAGGACGGGGAGGGGGAAAAGAAAAAACTATAGACTATGTGTGAGGAGGAAAGCGGTCTAGATAAGACGAGTGCGGTTCCGACGATGGTGACGATGATGAGGACGATGCTGATGATGGCGATGACGATGACGATGATGATAAGGAATCCTTAATATGGGATCCTTAGCAAGGAATTCGAAATAAGGGATCTTTACTAAGAGATCCTTAACGAGAAATCTTGACACAAGGAAACCTTCCTGAGGAATCTGAACTAAGGAACCCTTAACAAGGAATATGTGCCAAGGAATCCAAGGAATCCGTACTAAAGAATATGTACGAAGGAATCCTTCGTGAGGAATATTTGCCGAGGAATCCTAATAAAGACTATCAGCTGAGAAACCTGTAAAACAGAATCAGAAATACGGAACCCTAAACAAGAAGTCCTTGATAAGGAATCATTTGTAAAGAATCTGTCATAAAGAATCGTCGCGAAATATCCTTCATAAGGGATCCGGATTACGGAATCATTACTCAGGAATATGTACGAAGGAATCCTTACTAAGGAACTGTACTACGACAATCTTACGAAGGAGCTCTTTTTAAAAAGAACCCTTTTTAAGGGGCCCTTACAAAAGGAACCCCGAAGAAATAATCTGAATTAGGGAATTCGGTTTCAAGAATACTTGCTAGATAATCCGTCATGAGGAATAGTTATTTCAACGTGTCCTGAGTAAGGAACCCTTAATAAGGCATATGTGACAAGACATCCGTACCAAGAGATATTTAGCTAGGAGCGTTTACTGCGGAACCCCAAACAACAAATCCTGACCGAAGAACCTTGTATTACGGACACTTTCATATGAAATCAAAGATGAGGAACCCTGAATAATTATAACCTTTACGGTTTCCTGTGCGCTCGGGTTGCGGTCGTTAGACTCAACCGTCAGCACCTGTCTAGAGACGCATCGTGTTCGAAGTCATCTGACACGAGCAGACGCCATGCCTTTTTGTTGCGATAGTGCATTACAAATCCCGTTCCGAAGCTCAGGGAGACTATTCGAATTACCGTACTGTGAGGAAGAATATCTCAACCAAAACCTGCTCTTACTAGGCTGCTGAATACCTCTCGCTCTTTCGGGCTCAACAGATCCGTCTGGTCATCGAAGATGATTGCGAGCTTAATTGCTCGGAGTTAAGGGCAGAAGATGGGCAGAAGATCCTTGGACAACGCGCTCTACTTTCAGGGATGTAGGGGGGGGCTCTTGACCCACGCTAATAATTTTCGGGGGGGGGGGTCGGCCCTCCCCCGGCCAGCAGCAGCAGAAAACGCTCCCTCCAACACTTCGTCGATCAACGATGAAGTTTACTGCAAACACTGGCTGCCAACCATACATCCCGCTGCCTACGCTGAGAAGGCTGTCTTGCAACCGGAAATATTGATTCATGGTGCCCGCCCTCGCGACGCCCAGCTGCAATAGGACTCGGCCCCAACCCGAACCCAAGAGAAGCCTGTCAGAAATAACGCTGATGGCAGGGCTTTGCGATTCAGCTGCCCGCCTGCCGCAAAATCCTGCTCCCGCAAAGAGAACACGGATTGACATGTGGGAGCCATCTTAGACAACCCTGGACGCAATGAGGCGAGAACAGGGTGGAGAGCTTGCCAGCGCAACACAGGAAGAGGATAGGCAGGGAACCCGAAGATGCCCGATCTGTAGCCGAGTCCGGCGCTTCGAAGGATGGGGGAATCAATGCGGGTGAGCGCCAAGTGTACTGGCCAACGGGAATTGAAGTTGGCAGCATCTGGAGGCACGATCTGAGATGGAGATGCAAGTGTGCGGCGGCGCGCAGGAGGAGGCAGGGCGAGAGGGATGGCCTCTTGCGCAGGCACGGGGTCTGTTTGGATTGTTGCAGGTGTCCCTGGCCCAAGGCGCCCCCAGCTCTTCGCTACACTTAGGAACCCCTGGGGCCCTCTGGGCCTCGTGAGGGGTGCCCTGGAGGCCGCGTGGGCGCATCTTGGGCCAAGGACGCTGCTAGGAACGCCAGGTAGAAAGGCCCGTCCCCTTCGTAAAGAGCTCGCAGGGGTCTTCTCAGAAGGCAGGAGGTTTCCGATGGACGGGGTGCCATCCACGAGGGCCCCACCCTCTCGCGCTGCCCCCTTCTGCGGGCTGCCGTGCGCAGAAGACTTGAATCTGGAACACGGCTGATACCTGGCGGTGTCCAGAGACCCTGAACTCCAAACAATTGTGATATCTTGGAGATCTGTTCTTGTTCACGTCCGTTGGCACATCCGTCCTCGTTTTGCTTCCGCCCACCTCCCGCCGCCTTCCGCCGGGGAGGAGGTGTTAACCCCTCTGGTCCCTCGATCGACGCAGCCTTTTGTCTGGACCGCCTCGGAATCTGAAAAGACACCCAGCTTGCCACATCAGCACGTAGGTCGAGAAGAGCATCACGGCGAGTATGGCTGCGACGCAGATCCACAGCCCAATGGTCACCATGGGATTGCCTGCCGGCGCAGGCTTCCCAGCTGCGCATGCGCACTGCCATGTGACAAGCATCACGCAGTGATATTTTGGCGTCAAATACAGGGAGGTCTATGCGGGCACGATTCCAATATTCGGCGGCGCGCCGCGGTGGGAGGTGAGATGGGGCATGCCGGCATGCCTTCTCAAGACCAGGCGGGGCTTCTCAGAGGCTCCTCCATCCCCTGAGAAGCCCTGGGTGGCCTCGGAGATCAGAAGGCCGGAGGCTTTCTGAGTCTTCTGAGAAGACCCGCCCTCTACGCCCTCTCCCCCAGGAGCGCCGCACTGAGCTCGGCTAAGGAGCTGTCACGCTGGATCAGCCAATCCGCCACCGTGCCTATGGGCACGGAGTGGGCGTGTCCTCATATCCTTTGGCCAATCCCCTGAGCCTGAATTCATAACTCTCCCTGGGCTTGGCGCGGTTCCCTTGGGCCTTGGCGGATCTTGTCGCGTGACTTGCTCGGGCCCAAGAGCGCCCCGAGACGGGCCAGGAGAGCACCAAGAGACCCTCAAGACGGCCCAATGCGGCCTCCAATCGCCGGACGATCGCTCTAAGACACTCAAGATGGCACCCATGCAGAGGGCCCAAGAGGCCTCCAAGACTGCCAAAGGGGCCTCCAAGAGGCCCCCCAAGAGGGCCCCAAGAGGTATTGATGTTCCATAGGGTTCTGAACGATTTTGGCGTTCTCGCCTTTTCAGCCCGACGCTCCCAAACGGCCCTCGAGGCCCCCAAGACCGCCCCAAGACGGCCCAAGAGGCCTCCAAGAGGGCCCCCAAACGGACAAAGAGGACCAACGGACAAAGATGACCCCAAGACAGACAAGAGGCACCCAAAACGGCCCGACGGGGCCCCAAGACGGCCACAGAAGGGGCCCACAAGAGGGATCACGCGATCCTGCCGCCACAAGAGGCCCCCAGGGGGCTCCAAGAGGCGCCCAGGAGGCCCCAAGAGGCGCTTAGGAGGCCCCAAGACGCCCCCTAAGGGCCCCAAGAGGCCCCCGGGAGGCCCAAACGAGGCCTAAAAGAAGCCCCCAAAGGCCCCCAAACGAACCCTAGGAGGCGTCCAAACTGCCTCCAAGGAGCCCGAAGCCTCCCACGATATCCCAACGAACGTCCAATAGGCTTCTTCCCTACAACCCAAGCGCGGTGGCGGGATGGGCCGAAGGCCATTCGATACTTCTCTTTAGGAAAAGGGGGGAGAAGAGGAAGGAGCCCTTGAAGCATCACAATCAACTTGGAAAAAGTAGCAGCAAACAGCGCGAAGGAAGGCCCTTGTGGCACGACGAGAAAGCGCGGCGGCGGGGGATGGTAAGGGGGGGGGGCAAGCAAAGCAAGGCCAGGCGCGCGGCGGCTGCCTGGACAAGCGCGGCGCCTGGTCAAACGCCCCTAGGCGTGCGTGTCGCGAGGTCGTGCGTGTCGGCGGGCATGCTCAATGAACCAGCAGAGAGAGACATGCCAAGATCGTTGGGTGCAGACTCTGTCCGTGCTTCAGACTCCGCCCTCTGGGTGGATCGCCCACCCCCACTCGTCGCCGTCATCCGTCGCCTATTGGGGTCAGCTTGGAGCCATCGCGGGGTCGCATCAAGATCGCGGGGTCAACTTGGGGTGCCTGGGCAGGGCTGTGCATTTGTGTGAGACATATTCGCAATTGAGTGCCTCTGTTTCAGGTCAGCTATGTTTCCGGGCTCGCCTCGTCTTTTTCACGCCTGGGAGCGCGTATGAATACTGCGGTCTCCAAGACCCCTTGTCCTCCTTCTTCCCTGTCCTCCCTCCTCTATGTCATCTTCGTCTTGCCTCTTGCTTCTCTTCCGTGGGGGCTGCGAATTGCTATACTGTCACCACTATCGTAGGCCATATGGAGGTCCAGCGGAGTGGTGTCCCACGGCGATCAGAATGGGACCTCGCCGTTCCTGGGTGCTGCGAACTGCGCCACTGTCGCCACTTTCGTGGGCCCCTGGGCGGTCCAGCGGAATGGGGTGCTCCAGGACGTCCTGGAGGGCTGAGGTTGAAGCCATAGATTTTGGAATAGCGTTCCAAACACATTCAGCCCCAGGTTTTGGGATGCCGTTCCAAAAGCATTCACCCCTAGATTTTGGAATACCGTTCCAAACACAATCAGCCCCAATTTTTGAGCCTACGCTATCTGTTCACTGCTACCCGCCGCCGTCGTCGTGGGCAGGATTAGTCGGGAACCAGGGTGGGACAAGTTTGCTATCGCGTTGTGGTGTTGATTTTCGCCGTCGTCGTTATCGTCGTCGGCAGTTGAGTCCGGAACCAGGGGGGAACTCTGTTCACGTGTTGTGGTCTTTATTTTCGGGTCGTCGTCGTTGTCGGCAGGCTGTCCGGAATCATCCTCCATCGGGCCGCTCTCGCATGGGACCTTGGAGACGAGCGCAAAGAAGTGTAAGGGAACGGGAAGGAGGACGAAGGATGAGGAAGGGGAGGGCGGGGGGAGAAAGGGGGTTATGAGTGGGGGGGCGAGAGGGGGATGAGCAGGATGAGGGCGTGGAGGATGACAATGACGACGACGAGGGGCAGAGAAGGAGTGCACAGGGGAAACGAGAAACATGATGACTTCTGGGCCCCTCCACCTTGTTGCTTTCCAGGGGGTCGCAAGGCCATCGGAAGCCGAACGGCGAGTACCGTGGCGAAATGATCCCTTGGGTTCGCGGCCTTTCGAGGGCGTCCCTTGGGAGCGAGGCTGTAGGCACCTGAAGCCGTTCCAGCGCCCTCATGGAGCTTGAAGCTGTTTCAATTCCAAACTCTTCAAACAGTGCCTGCATTCAGGCTTCTCTTTTTGTGGTCACAGGAGCTGGGACAGGGTGGGGGTCTGGCGGCTATGTGGTCGCCGTCGCCGCCCCGTCGCTGCCTCGTCGCCGCCGGTCGCCTGGGCCTGGCTGGCGGTATGTCGGCTATGTGGCCGCCGTCGCCGCCCTGTCGCCGCCTCGTCGCCGCCCGTCGTCTGGGCTTGGTTTGCGGTCTGGCGGCTATGTGGCCGTCTTTGCCGCCGTCGATCGTCGCAGCGGCTCAGCTTGCACATAGCTTGCACCGCAAATATTGATTCACATAGCCTGGGCCACATTTATAGAGCCACGTAGATTGCTGAACATTGCGTGCACTTCAGAGATTGCACCACGTAGGCTGCTCAACTGAGCGTGAAGCATACAAGGTGCACCACATGTATTGGATTACATCTATTGCACCACAGAGATTGCACCAAACAACTTGTACCACATACATTGCACCACGTAGCTTGCACTACATAGACAGGTAGCTCGCCCCACAGAACTTGCACCACGCATACTGGGCCGCATATGTTTATTTGTTGCACCACAGATCGTACTCCACGCAGCTCACAACATATATTGCACCACCTCTAAGATCCACATGGACGGCACCACATACGTTACACCACGTAGCTCGCACCACATGGCTTGCACCACATAGATTGCACCGCAAATATTGCGCCACGTGCCCAGACCACGTAGCTCATACCACACAGGTTGCACCACATATAATGCACCTCGTGGGTACCATCACAAATATTACACCACCTACCTCGCATCACATAGCTTGCACCACATCGATGTGTGTCCACGTTGGCTAACATTCGACCTCGTTGCCCGATTGTGCAGGCTATCCCAAGCGATCGGGGGCAAGACTGGTGTTGTCACCGGCAGCCTCGGGCGCTCTAACGGATCGCGGCCGCTCCGTTCAGAACCCCCGGGAGGGAGCATGGGAGAGGGATTCAAGGGCAATGCCCTCATACGGGCCTTCCGGCGAAGCGCAGGCGAGGTCAAAGAGGGAAGTGACGGGGGGGAGGCAAGGGAGGAGGGGGAGGATGAGGAGAATTGGGCGGATCGCGCGCCATTGTTGGAAACGAGAAAACGACAGAACGTCCGACGGGTCTAAAACGACCCCGGGACAGGGGGGCCATCGGAGAGGATTTCTTTGTCACCTCACCTCGCTATGGGGCCACGAAGCGTGTGAAGGAGGTGCGGAAATTGATAGGGAACCGCATGTGGAGCCTCCCGCTGGGGCCTTCGGTGGATCTCCCTATTGGGCCACGAACCGTGTAAGGGGTATGGGAGCCGCATATGGGCCCTCCCCCTGTTTTTTTCGGTGGAGCTCCCTCTGGGGCCACGAAGCGTGTAATGGGCAGAGAACCGCATGTGGATCTTTCCAATGGAGCCTTCGGTGGACCTCTCTATGGGGCCACGACGCGCGCGAAGGTTGCATGGGGCCACGAAGCATGTGAGAGGTTGCCGACATGAGAGGGGAATCGCAAGTGGCTTTCCTGTGGTTTTGGAATGCTATTGAACGCGACGCGGCGAGACAGCGAATATAATGTCGAAATCTTCTGTTGGGTTTGTGGACGGTCTGGGCCTCTCGGGGGCAACCCTGGGAAACTCTGTAGCCACTTCGGCCCGTTCCAACGTTCCTCATGGGGCCTCTTGGAGGCATGTTGGAGGCCATACCCACTGCAAGTCGAACCTTGTTGTGCGATTTTCGGGGCCGTCCTCGACTATCTGTGGCCCCCATCGAACCTATCGTCTGAGACATTGGACGCTCTGCGTGTCTTGGCCCCCCCGTCCAGACCTCGGGCAGGGAACGTGGAGGGTGTTCAAGGGCAGCAGGAACTTGAGTGTTGAGTCCCGACCCCGGGCAGAGCTCCATTGGCCGTGGCCCCCATTGCCCAAACTTTCGGGCAGGGGCAATGGAGGATAGGTTCGAGGGGGGGAAACGCTTGTTGGGTGCTCGAGAAGACCCCGCGCGTTGCGCGCTTGACCCCACGATCTTGGGGGGGGATCCCCCCCCCAAGATCGCGGGGTCAAGCGCGAGACCCTGCGTTCACCCGCTCTCCCACGCAGGCGTGAGCGCGCTGAGTGCCCTCACTCTTGTCGTGGGAGAGCGGATGAGCGCGGGGTCAAGTGCTTGACCCCGCAGGGTCTTCGAGCCGGCTGGCTCATGAAAATACACCACG